AGGAAGAGATTCCTTACCAGAATCTGAATTGGCAGGCACCTTGATTTTGAACTTCTCAGTCTCCAGAATTGTGAAAAGTACATTTTTGCTATTTAAACCATCCAATCGGTGGTATTTTGTTATGGCAGTCCTAGCCAACTAACATAGTAATACATGTAATCCCCTGATATAGAAATTCTCTGTAAATAGAATTGGTATGATTTTGGGAAGATTATTAATTTTTCTTTTAAAATAAACTTTATAAGTCACTTGGGTGGCTCAGTTGTTAAGCATCTGCCTTTGGCTCACGTCATGATCCTAGGTGCTGGGATAGAGCCCCACACTGGGCTTCCTGTTTAGCAGGGAGTCTCCTACTCCCTCTGCTTCTGCCCCTCCCCCTGCTCATGCTCGCTTGCTCTCTCTCTCTCTCTCTCTCTCTCTGCACACTCTCTCTCAAGTAAATAAAATCTTTAAAAAAATACTAAAATAAACTTTACAGTGTGAGTCACATATTTGAGCATACCACAATGCCTGTATTTGGGGGAAATCAGGCAGATTATATGGCATTTTATCAGCCTGCAATCTATATATAAATACCTCCTAGGCTGAAAGTATACAACTGGACTTTTTCATTCTAATTTAGAGATTAAAAAAAAAAAAAAAAACTAGGTCAAGATAGGTTTTTAAGCAATCTCTAAAACTTATTAAGGTCTATCAAATAAACACAATCATTGACCAGTCTTCCTCTGCAGTAATGTAATAACTAAGGTAAAAAATGACAATGTGAGGTATAGTTATGTCAGTATAATTTAATTCTATTTTATGTTTATTAATACATATACAATTAAAGACTAACAAGATTATTTGTCATTATATGTTTTTCATCCTTTTATTCTTTAAACGTATTTATGGAGCATCTAATATTTGATTATAGAATGATACATTGGGTGTATCAAGAGAAATCAAGCAGTAGTCTGTGACCTCAAGGAATACAAATTCCATTGAATAATATCCAAACAAGTCAGGAGAGGTTTAGACAGGGCAATCATGTGAATGCATGGATGAAGCCCTGAACCCAGAGTAGGTTTAGCAGAGAAGGAAAAAACAGAAAAAAACTATTCACCACTCATGAAGAGATTGTAAGGAAACGATAGAGACAAAGTAATTCATGCAAAGCAGAAGAGAGAAGGAATGGTACAGCTATGTACCAGAATTTGAAAGGGCAGGGCAAGATAATGAAAGATAGAAGAAATAGTTGCTAATTGTCCATAATATGCAAAAAGTCAATGGGGAGTCTTTGAAAAGTTTTAAGCCATTATACGGTCAGATTTACATGTTATGCTATTTACTGTGATCACTGTAGAAAATTGATAGCAGTGGGATAATGCTGGAGGGAAAGGAGTCTCTCTTGGAGCCATTGTAATAGGATGGGTGAAAATTAGTGAAGGCTATATATAGGAGAATAAAAAAGAGGATAATATTAGTCACATTAATGGTCATGGAACAGATAAAATGTAAGAACCAAGTAGAAGTGTTACCTATAGAAAAAGGAATAATCAATGACTAGGTGACTCTTTTGTGGTTTCTTTCTCTGACATAAGGAAAACAGAAGAGAAGAAAATTTCATGTGATCAATAATTAATGTTTTGTATTCTTATGATATTTGAAATTTCAATTGATATTTCATAAATACAGTATTAGAGTCTAACATGAGATCTTTAAAAATTCCAATATACTGGGGTTTTTCTTTCATGACACTTTCCATGAAATCTTGTCACTTTCTGTGGTAGGTGGAATGTGCCCCTGCCAAGGAGGTCCATACCCTAATCCACTGGAATACTTCATTTTGCATGGCAAAAGGACTATGCAAATATGGTTAAGGGTAAGGGACCTTGAAATAAAGATATTATCCTGTATTACCTGGGTGGGCATGAGTCCCTAAAAGTAGAGAATCTTTCCCAGCTAAGTCAGAGAGAGGTATAAGGATGGAAGAAAGGTAACCTTTGACAGATAAGATACTGTTGGCTTTTGATGATGGAGGAAGAAGTCACAGTCCAAAAAATGTAGGTTCCTCTAGGAGATGGAAAATGAAGGGATCTAGATCCTCCCCAAAAATAAACACGGCCTTGAACATCTTGATTTAAGCCTGGTGAGACCTATGTCAGGGCTTCTGACCTACAGAATCATATGATACCAAATCTATGTTGAGTTTCTTTTTTTTTTTTTTTTAAAGATTTTATTTATTTATTTGAGAAAGAGAGAATGAGAGACAGAGAGCACGAGAGGGAAGAAGGTCAGAGGGAGAAGCAGACCCCCTGCTGAGCAGGGAGCCCGATGCGGGACTCGATCCCGGGACTCCAGGATCATGACCTGAGCTGAAGGCAGTTGCTCAACCAACTGAGCCACCCAGGCGCCCTATGTTGAGTTTCTAAAGAGGTGATAATTTGTTACAACAGCCATTAAAAACTATTACAGATTGTCATACCAACAGTGATGCGCTACTATTACAAATACCAAAAGCTGTGAGAGTGGTTATGGAGTGAAGCATTGGGAAGAAAGGGAAAGAATTTTGAGGAACATGATTGAAAAAAACAAAACAAAACAACAACAAAAAAAACTCAATTGCCTCAAATAGAAGCATGGTTTTTAAAGACTCTGCTCCTGAAAACCCAGAAGGAAGTGAGGAGCTTAGCAGAGAAAACTTAAATTGCCTTAGAGAATACATAAATCATCATGAACACACTAGTAAAAACCTGAACTCTAAGGACACTGTGATGAAGGTTCAGAAGGAAATGAAGATCACGTTTTCCTTTCTTTCTAGCAACAGAAAACTTAGCTGAATTTGTCCTGCAGTTATATGGGCAACAGAAATTAAAAGGGATGAACTTGGATATATAGCTGAGGAAATTTCCAAGGAAAGTTTGGAAGGTGCGGCCTTGTTTCTTCTTGTTGCTTACAGAAAGATAGGTGAGGAAAGAGAGAAATTATTGAAAGAGCTGTTGAACACAAAGGAAATAAGAGTAGATGATTTGGGTAATTATCAGCCTATCTGGATTACAAAACATGATAAAATTAAGAAATCTGACAGAAAACCCATGCTCTGGAGAAAAAGCCAAGATTGTGGTTATACTACCTTTTGCTAATAGCTCAAACAAAAATTCAGAATATCCAGTCACACACACACACACACACAAGAAATTAAGGAAGACACACACACACATTCCTTCAATCAAACCAGAGACTATCTAGGAAGCTTAAGAGATCTACCTTTCAATCTCCTTTTTGGATCCCTCTTGTCTAAATATTGAGTGATTCCCAAAGACCTCCTTTGATCCTCTCTTGTCTTCACTTTAATGGTCCTAGAGGTTTTCATCCAAATTCATGGCTTCAACTGCCACTTTCATACTAGAACCAAAGGCTCCCAGATATCTATATTCTGGGCTTTGTTCATCTTCATTTGACTTAAATGAAACACAAATCAAAGTACATTATATGTGCTTTTCTTCCTTTCAAATTCCAAAATTATTATTCAATAAAATAAAATATTCCTAAAGCACCAACACTCCAAATTGATTTCAGATGGCTCCCATGGCCCTTCATCTCTCCTGACATGGATACAACTTTTTTTCCCACAGAAAACAAGTGATCACATTTAAAGAATTCATATTCACACTACAATCTCAATTATTAGATAAAACTATGAGAAATATCCTTAGTAAAAAATTCCCTGATTCTCAGTACATTAATTAAAACTAACAAGGTTTGAAGAAACCCAGTCTGGACATAATTATCAAGCTTGATTTCCTGTCATTCTCCCATATTTGTTCCTTAGTCACATTGTGCCACATTATAGTTCTACAAATGTGTATATTGAATCATTTGACTTTTTTCTTGTTAAACTTTTATATTTCTTCCTCCCCCACTTTTAACTGTAAGTACCATATCTTCCCCTTTTCCCATTTTCACTTCTCAGAGGCAAGAATTTCTAACCTTTTCAGTTGTTTTTTTTTAAAGGAAAGATTTCTAAGTGTAGCTGTTTTGTAATCACAGACCTAAAAGAGTTACAGTTTCATCATCTGATTTCTTCTCCTTTTTAAACCATGAGGCATGGAGAAATTTTTGGTTTCCAAGGAAAACCAGAAGAAAATCAATCCCAGATCTACCAGATCAGAACTACTATTAGAACCACCTCTACCCTTATTAGACTCTCTTCAAAGTCTTCAATAATTGAAAAAATGGGGTGTCAATAAGAACTGAGGCCCAAGGTCCTAAGCTAATCAATTGGTATACTTGGTACATAAAGACTTTTGATAAGTATTTATTTTTAAAATCAATACATCAGTGAGCTTTCTCTTTTTAGCTATATCAGCATTGAATCTATATTCAATACTTTCATTATTGTGACTATGTAAATCCTGACAGCTGGTCAACTAGCAAATTAAAAATTACATTTCCTAGGTTTTTTTTTTTTTAATAATCCAATCGTTAAGTTTTTATTTATTTATTTTTTAAAGATTTATTTATTTATTTGAGAGAGCGAGAATGAGAGAGAGAGTACATGAGAGGGGGGAGGGTTAGAGGGAGAAGCAGGCTCCCCGCTGAGCAGGGAGCCCGATGAGGGACTCGATCCAGGGACTCCAAGATCATGACCTGAGCCGAAGGCAGTCGCCCAACCAAGTGAGCCACCCAGGCGCCCCTTAAGTTTTTATTTAAATTCTAGTTACTTCATACAGTGTAATATTAGTTTCATGTGTACAATATGGTGATTCAATACTTCCTTACAATACCTAGTGCTCATCACAAGTGCCTTCCTTAATCCCCATCACCTATTTAACGGTCCCAACCCACCCCCACTGCCACTTACCTCCCCTATGGTAACCATCAGTTTATTCTCTATAGTTGATTCTGTTTCTTGGTTAGCCTCTAAAATTGCTTTTTTAATATCAACAGTTATCTTTTTTATATATTTGATTGGGAAGAATTATATTTTAATAAAATTTTAATATCATTAACCATAACAGGAAATCTCTAAGATTCCCATCACCATGGCCCCTTGCCCCTACCGTGCTCTGCCCTCACGCTCCAAAAACTCCTTCTGGGCACTCCATCTTCTGGCTCAAGTCTGGATTGGTTCCTTTCTGAAGCGGTGTCTTTGACAAAGGTAATCCTTTCCTATGCTTTTTGTATATAGCATATAAAACATGGTAGATTTAAATTCTCCAGTATGGTTGACTCAACCTCTTTTTTTAACATGCGTAAGATTTCATATATTCAAGTAGGTAAATGGAGATGGCACTATAGATTCTGAATGGCAAAGAAACATTTATAGCTAGTAATTCTAAGCATAATAAACTGGAGTTACTGTTTTTTAATAGGCAAAAATCAAATGCAGTCTCCTATATGGCTCATCTTTTCTGGAGGTGGGATTAGACTTTGATGTCTGTGGAAAATACTGGCTTTCAAGTAAAACATAGAAGGAAATCATCCTTATCTCTTTCAGGTCAAAAAGAGAATTGGAACCATCTTTTAGCAGACTTTACTTGGGGACTTCAATAATTGAGGACAGCCAATGATAACTGAAGTTTTAAGTTGCTAGATTCATTTAGAAGGTGGGGATGGAGGATATCAACTGAAAAAAGAAAAAAGAGAAATCAGTGGCAATCTGGAGTTTCCTGAAAGAGAATATGGCCCTTTGGCAATCAACATACAAGGCAACGAAAACAAAATGTGAAAAATATGAAAAGAGATGTTAAGAGATTGGTTAAGAAAGATCAATATAGTAAACACTATAGTTCTAAGTCTGTGTTATATTGAATTATGCCTCCCCCAAAAGATATGTTGAAGTCCTAAGCATCAGTACCTCAGAATGTGACCATTTTGCACATAGGGTATTTACAGAGAGAATAAAGTTAAAGTCAAGTCATTAGGATGGGCTCTGATATGACTGGTGTTCTTATAAAAAGGAGAAATTTGGCTACAGAATCAGACATGAACAGAGGGAAGACTATGTAAAGAGACAGGGAATGTCATCTGAAGGCAGAGGATTAAGTGATACATCTACAAGCCAAGGGATGACAAATATTGCTATAAACCCACTGGAATTTTGGAGAGAGACATAGTACTGATTCTCCTCCATGTCCCTCAGAAGTAATAAACCCTAAAGACACCTTGATTTTGACTCCCAGCCTCTAGAACTATGAGACAATAATTATTATTTTTAAGTCACCCGATTTCTGGTACTGTGTTATACCAGCCCTAGGAAACAAGTCTGCAATGTAGTCCTTCATTTTGTATATTAAACAATCTCTATTCTTGAAGTTTAGCTGATTCCTTGATACCTGCAATCCCACTTCAAGTAGGACCACTTTTAAACAGGTTTCTAGATTTTTCTGATAGTTTTGTAATTTTAATACAATTTTTTTCAACCATATTAATTTTAGACAGTTTATTAATTCCAGCTATAGGAAATGTGTAATTAGCATACAATGTTCTTTCTTCATTTCTCCCCAGAGTTTGTTTTACATATTATTATATTCATTTTAAAGTCAATTACCTTGTAAGCATTTTTGTTCTGATAACTTCAGGCAGTCTCAGCACTTATCAGTATTCTCACTTTTCCTTCTACCATTCTTCCACGTTTTGTTTCAATTTTCTGTTAGCTATACATTTATTTTACAATATGAAGATTAGTATCATTTATGTTACAACACAATCTTCTTGGTTTTCTATTTATTGAAATAAAAAATATATACATCATGTTAATGTTATTACTACTGTAATTTTGGGACTGAAAAATATGGTAGGAATGTCACACTTATTTTCTGCTGGTTCCAGTGATTCGATAGTTCTGCTACTTAGAAGCAGCAGATTGGTCCTAGCATCAGGGCTAAATGGGTTCAGGAAATAATATCAATTATAAGAAGATATACCAAAATTATAGTGTGTGTATATATATACACACACACACAATCGCACACACACACATATATATGTGTGTATATATATATATACACACACACATACACATACACGTACATATATCTCCTTTCCAAAAGAAAAGTTCAGAGGGAAAACACATTACAGAAACTATATACAACATAAAAATAGCTGTGTTTACAAAGCCACACCCTTGATAGACATAGACAAAGCATTGCATTTATCAGTCCTAAATCCCCTCATTTAGGGGTGGCTGTTAAAAGGGCTGGCTGGAAAGGTCTCTTTTATAGAACAGTAATACCATTCATAAGATTTCCACCCTCATAACCTAACCACCTCCCAAAGGACCCATTTTCTAATACCTCACTGGGCATTAGATTTCAACATAATACATTTTGGGAACAAATACTCAGTCTGTAACATATTTAAAAATGATAAATTTGCCTTTTGGTGTCTAAATCATTTTATCTAGGTACTTCAATCACATGGGTCAGGTGCTCATAGATTTATCTTTTAAATACATTAAAAACAATAACCAGCAAGACTTTCTGAAAGAAAGCCTAGATGCTGAAACTCAGAATCTAATTTCATTTGTCTTTTGGAAATATTCACTTAAATGGAGTAACTACTGCTTTTCTTCATTTCTCATTTTCAAGTTAATTTCTACAGTAAGAACCTATGCCTTCAAGACTGATATAGCTAAAAACAGAAAGCTCATTGATGTATTTTTTTTAAAAAATCAATACTTATCAGAAGTCTTTATGTACCAAGTATTGTTAAGCACTGCAAATAGAAAACAATTGAATGTCCTGCCTTCATGAAAGTCACAGTTCAGCAGTGTATGACATTAAACAAGCAATAATAAATGTGATAGTTACAAGAAAATTGTAGTTTACAATACTATCTAAGTTTAATGTAGGGGTAAGCCCTAGGGTGGAGGTTAGGAAAGCTTTCCTTGAGGAAGTGATTTTAGGCTCAGAGATTAAAGACATAATTATGAGTAACCTTGATGAATTTAAGTGGTGGACCTTAAGTAAACATGAAACTTGTAGACATTCTCACAGCACATTCCAACAAAGCATAAAATAGAAGAAAGAGAAAGAATTTTTTGTTGTTGTCATTACCCTATTAGTATAAACCTCTAATTCTTATTGTAAATGTTATTCTACATTGAGGGAATCACGGTCTTTCTCATTTGTGCAGTGAATAGGTGAAAAGTCTACAAAACCAGGTAAAAGTTGCTGGGCCTGTGATTCAACAGTCTTACACAATTCACAGCACTCACCATAGCACATACCCTCCCCAATGTCTATCACCCTGAAGCCTCTTCTTTTATCCTCTTTTATATTTTCCATATTTTCTACAATAAATGGTTTGTAACAAAGAAAAAACATTATTTTAGAAATAAAGATGTAATCACTAAATCTATAATTATTGCCTGAATAAAATTACCATCAAACTTAAAAAACAAAAAAGTTGCTGGGCAATCCTTCTGTACATCAGTATTGACTGAAATAACAGAGACACACAAGACCTTGAAAAAGCAAAATTTGGTAGACTGCATTGAAATTGTGATATTCAATCACAGAAAATATGGGTACTTCCTTTTTCAGTCTGCAAAATAATGAAAGGGTTTAACTGACAGAAAATATATATATACTTCGTATGATAGGATTTTATTGAAATTAGGCTTGAGATAAATGGACTTACTCTGCTAGGAACCTAATTAGGAAATATACTCAGAGCAATTCAAAGACTGTAGATAGATTTCTACTTTTGAAAATGCCTCCCTAAATATATTTATTACATTGTCTTGCTAGGAAAATATAATCTTTACATATAAAGCCTTATGTGACATGTCCCAGAAAATCAGAAGGGAAAAAATAGTTAAGCTATAAGAAGGGAGTTGAGAATTTGCTAGGAAGGTTGAAAATGAGACTAGGAGATTGTAAAAGTGACTTGGCAAATAACTTTGAAATTATACACTCACTGTAAAACTGAAATAGACCTCCCAAATTTCATGCAACATATGTGACAAAAAAAACACCCAGAGTGGCCCACTAAGAATAAAGGAAAGACAACCTGCAATTGTTCTTTAAGATCTTTCACAACTGAATTTTAGATTTTTTAAAAGTTACAATGCGTACCCCTGTAACCCAGTTTATCGATTAGCCTATTGCTATCGTACACTCATCAAAACTAAGTAACTCACATTATTACTATTAACTAAATTCCAAATTTTATTTGGATTCAGTTTTCCATTAGGTCATCTTTCTGTTCCAGAATCCTACTAATGCTGCTATCAAACATTTAGTTGTCAGGTCTTTCTAGTCTCCTCTGGTCTCTGACAGTCTCTTTTTTTTTTTTCTCATAATCTCAATGTCTTGAGGAGTACTGGCTGGGTGTTCTGTACATTCTGTACAGTGTCTTCCAATCTAGGTTTGTTTGTGATTTTTCTCATGTTTAAATTGAGGTTATGTGTTTTGAAGGAAAAAAAAAAAAACTTAGAAGGGAAGTGCCCTTCTTTTACTACTGTCAAGGAAAAATATCTCCATAACATCATTGGTGATATTAACCTTCATCTCTCTGTTAAGATGGTGCAGGAACTGACCAAGGCACTTTGGAAAAATGGTGTTTACACCATTTACACCAATGGTGGTTTGATTACATGTTGTGAGGTTCAGGTAAAATTAACTACAAACAAACACTGTACTCTAGTTAAATTTCACAAGGGGGTATGGTTAACAATTCTGAAAATACTGTTGACTGGGATTGAAAAAATAAGTAAATAAATGGCGAAAGGTAGGCGTCCGGTTTCTCAGGTCACTGAGAGGAGCTAAAGATAACTAAGAATGGATGATTCCAATGAACCTTTTGGGGATGATTAGAATCAGAGACCAATCATAAACCAACATACTTACTACATCCCACAAATTCTGGTATCATATGGTTTTTATATAATTAAATTACTAATTTCTCTTTTGATTTATTATCTGCCTCAGGGGTTACTTACAAGTGTTTTATTTCTAAATATTTGAGGGATTTTCCAAATATTTGAGGGATTTTCCAAAGTTCTATTATTCATTTATTTTTAATTTTTTTTTTTTTAAGATTTTATTTATTTGCGAGAAAGACAATGAGAGACAGAGAGCATGAGAGGGAGGAGGGTCAGAGGGAGAAGCAGACTCCCTGCCGAGCAGGGAGCCCGATGCGGGACTCAATCCCGGGACTCCAGGATCATGACCTGAGCCGAAGGCAGTCGCTTAACCAACTGAGCTACCCAGGCGCCCTATTATTGATTTCTAATTCCCCTGGGGCTTGAAAACCTACTTTAAAATTTTTAAAGCTTGTTGTGCGGCCCAAAATATATTCTATCTTGGACAATGTTACACGTGCACCTTATTTTTCTGCTCTTGCTGTTGTATTAGAAAAAGGTCAATGAAATTGGTTGATAATGTTGTAGTCTTCCTATCAATTTTTTTGAAATATGTATGTTAAATTATCTGCCTATGTTTGGGGATTTGTTAATCTCAGCAGTTATATAAATATTTATTTTGAAACTATGTTCATAAACTTTCAAAATTATTATGTCCCCCTGATAAATTGAACCCATCACTGTTTTGAAATAATGGACCTTTTTTTTTTTTAACCCTGATAATGTTCTTTGCTCTGAAATCTACACTATCTGGGATAAACATAGCTATTTCAGCTCTTCTTTTAGTAATGTTAGCATGATATAACTTTTCACCCATTACTTTAAACTATGTATGAATTTGTATTTAAGTTGCATATGCTATATGCAGCATGTAGTTAGGCATTGCTTTTCATTCTGAAAATCTGATTTTTAAATGGGGGTAGTTAGATCATTTACATGTGATGAGACTATTGATATCGTTAGATTTAGATTTACCATCTTAGTATTTCTTTCATACTTGCCTCTGCTTTTCTTTCCT